GTTCAACTTAAACTGTGTGACTGCAGCCAGAGGACCCTTAGCTGAGCAGGGTGTTTAAACAAACCTTAAATTTGACTCAAAACTTGCATATGGAGCTCAATTTCTCAGGTGATATTTAAATTTTTTATTTTCCCTGGAGAAACACCACTAAGGTGGAACAAATGTAGCAGGAGTAAACATTGAACCATCTAAAACGTGGAGAGTTCTGAATCCTGGCAATTGGGAGAAGTCTGGAGATGAGGCACCGTCAGCAGTCCGTTCTGTGTGCCCTTGTAAGACATAACCCTGACGCAGGTGAGTCAGGCCGCAACAGTCCTAGTTACAGTGGCTCATAATTAAGTCCTCCTTCATGATTTGTGTTTTGATTGCCTTCTTTTTTCTTCAGCTAATCCTACCATCATTGCAGCATGAGTGTGGTCTGCTTTGCCCTTCGGACACTAGTTTGCACGGATTCATTTCTGAGTAGTCTCAACTAAAGCACAGGTGTGCGGTAGGACAGTGAGGGAAGCAAAGCATGAGGTATTTCTGGCAGAGTGTTTTATTTGCAGAGCCCTAGAGGTAGGTTTACAAAATCACCTGATACAGTGCTGAGGAGGCACATCCAGAAAGGTAGTCGAGGAATCAGGAAGGACATGCTGATTGTGACTCAGCATTGCTTTCCCTTGATCAAACAAAAACATTACACTTGGGTGTTTGCCCTGAATGCAAATACCTGAATGTCTTGGGAAATGAGATCTCTTTGCTAGGTGTTGGCTGTCTCTTTGTGCTGGGACTAGCCACCCCAGCTGGAGTTCACAGCCTTAACTTTCTTCTGGGAAAACTATAATAATTGCAGCTGTAACTTTGTTCCACTTGGATTTCCTTTTGACTCTAGATCTTTCTTCCCTTACAGGGTGGGAGCATCTGCTTAAATTCATAAACTCTGATTATATTCTTTTTCTTTCTCTTTTTCTAATATTTCTTCTGAGGATTTTTTTTTTCTCTATTTAAATACTAAGGGTTATTTCCCATCCTTAGAAGATTTATTATCCTGGTTTTGATTTTCTATTCTGAGTATGTGTTTGACACATCTTTAGTTATTAGAATAGAAGCCTGACACTGTAGGAAACAGAAAATGTTTGCCTGCATTATGTTTCACATTATAAATGGTTCTTGTTCTTTACCGTGCAAACAGGCTCCTTGAATAATTTTACGGTATGCTGTTGAGAACTGCGGTAAGCCATTTGCTAGTAAATCAGCATTTCTTACAGCAAACTCTCTATGCTCTGTCAGGCACTATATCTAGGGAATAAAATCTAATAAAAAAAAATCAAAACACGGAGCAGTTATGGCTGATCTCCCTGAAAAATTTATACTGTTCTGGGTATAGGAACCAAAACCCAAAAATCTGGGATTTTTTTTAGGTAGTGTCTAGGTCTAAAGCTTGAGATATACAGCAAAACATCTGTCTTTTTGCTGCTTTTTTGGTATTTGCAATGAAATATACTGATCAGTTACAGTTTTCCTTTCATTTCTTGACTTTTGGGGAAGGTTCAGCTCCTGAAAGCAGTGGCTAAGGAAAGTTTCAGCTGTATTTTCAGATCATGATGGAATTTCACTTTAAAAAATAAAAGAAAAAATTAACCCCCTTCTACTTAATATTAAAGATAATGAGGAATACCGTCAATGTTGGAGGGGTTTTATTTGCTTGCTGGTCTTGGCCTTTTGGGTGCTATCATCCTGTTTTCCGGCTTGTCTTCACCAATTAATTGATGTAGCAGCTCTTTATATATATATATATATATATATATATTTTAATGACAGCTGAAGTACGTTGATTCCAGCAGCTGTTAATATGAACAGACTTGCCAGCTGTTGTATTTTTATGGCAATATTGTGATTTTGTGGGCAAGCCTTTATTGCATTGCTTAGAGCTGCTTATAATTTTGGAAGGAGCAAGGTATGAAACCCCCAGAAAATCAAAATGGGGAGAGTAAAGGCAGGTCTGTCAAAAGCAGGAAGGATTCTGAAGTACTATTCCAAGGTGGTTTTTTTTTCTTTTTTTTTTTTTTTCTTTGTTTTATAACAAATGTCTTGAAAGGTCCTATGGATTGAAACACTATCTTGGAAGCAAAGTACTTAAAATTATGTCGGCTTTCTGTTTCATGGGTGTTTGTTTTATAATATCTCCAAGCTTCCAGGCAGATCTTTGAGATGTTTGCTTGCTGGTTCAATTTCAAGGCTGGAATAGAATGGTGGAAGGACAGAAATGCGTGGTATCTATAGGTACAATTATGCTGAAGGTCTTTGCTTTCTGCCTTCAGCCTGAAGACCCTATTTGGTTGGTTTTGGTGTTGGTTTGTTGGTTTTTGTTTTTGTTTTTTTTTTTTAATAGAAATAGTTTTTTCTTTTGGTTAAAGGAAAAACTCAGCTTATAAAATTTGGCTATTACACTTTTTTGAATACTATTTGAAACAGAAGGTTTTATAGTACTGTAAATTTGAATATCCTCATGCTTTTTATCATCAAATGAGTTTGGTTAGTTTGGCACCTGGTTTGATAACATATTCTTAACCGTGACAGCAGCAGATCAAATCTGAGCATTTTGCCCCAGTATTAAGTTCTTAATGTCTGCTATCATCATGGCATGGTAACCTGGTCCTGCCTGTGCTGCTGACTGTTCATCAAGGACTGCTGACAGGTTTCTCTTCCCTGCCAGGTAGCTCATGCCTGTATTGAGCCTTATCACAAGCAAAGAATCTCACTCATAATCTGAATGTCACAGGCAGAGATGGCATTGAGGCTACAAATTCAGCTTGTACTAAGTACTGAGCTCCACGTGCAGCCAGACTTGTGGTGAGCAATGAGGACAGAAAACACACAAGTTGGAGGGATTACTGTGTGCAAGTGCTGCATAGACTCTGAACACTGGAAGACTGTCTGCGCCAGCTGTTTTCATACTGAAACTTTATCTTTTTGCTTAAAGGCTTTGTGATAAGGTGTGGCTTTCTTTGGATGCTCAGTGTCTCTTGACACAGAGATGAATTCCTGATCTGGAAAACTGGAGCTAAATGTCTAGATTTGAGCGCGACTGAAATGTGAGGAATGTGCAAGACACTTAATGCTAAGCTTTAATATGGTCTATTTCTACTACAATCTGTTATTACAAAAACCTAAACAAATCACGGTAAGATGGAGATCATTAGCTCACAAAATTGAGTTGGAAATGTTTACAAATATATTTGCGGTGTCCCAGTCTGATTGCTCCATTCCTCTATTTGCAGGGCTTCTACATTGCAGCCTCACCTAATCCAAAGCACAGCATGACTCCTCCTTAGGACTAGTCCCTTCCATCATCTCTCTCCTTCCTCTTAAGTTCTTCAAAAAGCTTCAATCAGCTTTCAGTAAAACAGAAAATAGGTTTTATTACTTATTAAAAGTTTTATAATGGAGGCCTGGCTTATCTTCCCTACCTTCTGTCACTGAGAAACTTGGATCAATAACTGCAAGATATTTGTCCAAAAATATAGATTGAAGCATTGTGGACTTTGTGCTCTCAGTAACTTTACAACCTTAATGTTCCTAGGAGAAGTTTCAAAAAAACCCCCAAACCATCCAAACAATCCCAACACCACAAGTTTAAAAGCTACAGATCACTATGGACACTCAAAAATACTGAATGTGTGTGACTTGTATTGTTTTTCATTTTTTATTAGCTAGGTAAATCTAAGGTGATGATTTTGCTTTATTTCAACTGCAGATTTTGACAATATTAATCTACAGTGTAACAGTCACCGTGTGACACTTCTGTGGTTGTGTTGTGCATTTTTCAGATCACTGCACAGTGTTAAGCTGGTATATGGAAGTCATTTGAAACGCTCAAAATGAAATAACTCAAGGATCAGGTACTATATAAGTGCTAATAGGATCCTGGGCCAGAGTCGTCAGCCCAGAACCCTGCTACAGGTGCAGCTCCACTGTGTCACAGCCCATCCAGGCCCACCTCTGCTCTTTCACTTGTGCTTTCTCTGCACTTTTCATGGAGCGATTCAATTGTTGACAACTTTGGGTTCCTTACAGGTCTCCATCTACATCCGTGTACCTTCTTTGAGAGTCCCCTGAATGCCAGTTGGTGCATGTTTCCACTTTCCTGATGACTTTCCTTTTTATGTCACAGATGAAGTCACACAAATTGCGATCTTTCTAAACTGCAACACGGATTGAAGAGTTTCCTGTCTGATGCTACCTGCACTGTTCTCGTCCGCCAAAGATGAAATAATGTGTCATGTTAAAGCTAGTTGGCCTGCAAAATCTAAAACTTCTTCCAGGGGTTCAGGTCCCTTGCACTTCCTATAGTGCCTGTTTTTCCCCTGGGGATAAACTCTTCATTGGTCAGGCATTGATACTGTCTAGCTTCATCTTAGTTTCTGTGAACTTCAAGTTACAGATTTTAAAGTGTGTGTTAGGAACGGAATAGCACGTGGTTTGCCCCCTCTCCAGGCAAATAAATAAATAAATAAATAAATAAATTATACCCTTAATGTGCAAGAAGGTCAAACATGAGCTGTGTGAACTTGTTAAACACATTTATTGATTTCTTGACAGTAACCAAACACAGTGAATGACCATTATAAACAAGAAAAAAGGCATTCGCTTTTACTTGGTCAGCTCCTGCTTTATCTGTAAAGAAAAGATATCCCTTTCCACCACCAATTTACAGGATTAAATTTGTTTGTCCCAATAATGGATTCAGCAGGGAAAATGGCAATTTTAAACTGAGATATGTTTCAACTGCTTTCTGCTTCTGAGCCCAGCTCCTATTAATGATGGACCATAAAGTGGAGTTAAAGTTATACTAGCTTTAAGTGCGTTCCCAATTGCAATTAACTGACTTAAGTTGGCTGCAAAAAAATAAATGAAGTTAAAAATGGAAAAG